ATATACAAAAATAATTTGGTTGGAATAAAAAATTTGCGATTATTATGATGTGTCACATAATTAATTAGAACCCCTTAATTGAAATCATGAAGATATAGAGATTTTGTGCCTGATTCCCTTTGAGGACACTATTTATGATTTGAATTTGTAATTTTTTATGTTTCAATGTGAATAACTCTTATGATATTACTTATATAAGCATAAATCCTACCTTTGAGTGTAATAAAATACTTAAATATTGTTACATAAAAATATTACTCCCTCCGTCCCAAAATATTAGTCCCTTATTCCATTTTTCATTGTCTCAAAATATTAGTTCCTCTTCAAAAATCAAGTACAAAAATAATATAAATTTCTTATTTTGCCCTTCTTTTAAATTTATAAACAATATAAAAAGTACAATTATGACATTGATATTCTCTAAAAAATGTACTATCAAAGGGTAATTTTGAAAAATCAACTTTTTGTTTAAAGTATAATAATTGTACTACAAAAAAAAAAAATAGATTTCCCAAAAGAGACCATTATTTTGGGACAGAGGGAGTATAATAGATCATAATCAAACCCCACTTGAAGCATAAGTAAAGACCCGATACACTGCTTTTTTTTTTTTCTTTTTCTTTCGGAATATGAAAAACATTTATATTAAAAAACAACAACATGCGCTTTAGATATAACAAAAAATATAAGAAATTAACAAAGACTTTTTCGATTAATAACCACAATAATACACCATGAGTTATAATTAAGTCATAATTTATATATTATAGAATTTTTCTATGTTTTTATTTTTTTTTTCAGAAAAAATATTTTAATACAAATGAAATTTATGATTTTTGGTATATTTAATTAACACAAATGAGGATTTTATTTCAAGTTAATAATATAATTTTTTTATGATTTTGAAAGAAATCATTTTTATGAGCTTTTTACATAAAATCACACAATGACAAAAAAATTCACCACCCATTAGCAAATTTGTTTGTATTTGACTTTCAATTGTTAAAATTTTTTAGGATTTGGTCAAAATCTCCTCATAATAAAACTTTAATACATTATAGCATCTCTAATAGTTTGCCATTGGAGCTGCTAAATTTGGCAAATGCCAAATGTGCCAATTCACCCAATACCAACTGTTTCCTTCCTTTTCTCTCTTCCTCTCTTTCTTTCTTGTCTTTCCTATCAAACCAACCACAGTCGACAAGCCCTCTATTTCTGCAAAACTCGGCAAAATTTCGTCCACTGGTCAATCGGCCAAGGTGGTTGTCCAGCCTCAGCTTTGGTTGGGATTTGCCAAAATGACTTTGTACTATTGGAGCAGTATTGCTATAATTTGACAATTTGCTATGCTATAATAGCATTTGCCATTGAAGATACTTTTAAAGATAACATAAAATTTTTTCCTGAAAAGTACAACGTACACTACTATTACCAAAATATCCTTCGTAACTAATTTAATATTTTAAAGGGCGAATTACACTAACGGTCCCTATAGTTTGAGCCTTGTGTCACTTTGGTCCTTGACTTTTCAATTGTGACACATTTGACCATGAATTTTGAATTTTGTTCCAAATAAGGACAATTGAAGATACCGTTACTCAATTTCAATGGCAAAATTGTCAATTTGATAAAATATAATAATGGTGCTATTAGCACCCCATGAATTATTTTAAACCCTTTATTTCTTTAGACCCCCACTTATAAATTTTAAAACCCTTAAAATTTCCTTTCTCCCTTCAAATAATTTCAAAATTATCCTTGTGAAAACATTCCACCTATTGAATGCACACCCCCCACACTCTCACACCTCAAAAAAACCTTACTTCTAAAAAAACCCTAACAAAGCCCACGAAGAAGAAGAAGAAGATGCAATATGATTACTATCTCTGCTGCCTCATCCACCATTGTCATAGTTGGAATGCTCTCTACCTCTATATATACACATAATTTTATTAGTTTTCTCATAATAATTTCTTCTCTTGCAAAAAAATTATAATAATTGGTCTAGTTTTCTCAGTAAAACAGGTCTGAACCTATGAATAATGTCGTTACCCGTTTCTGAACAAACAATAAATGTTTGGTTACTAGTTCTCGAACAAATAAACAGTGTTCGGGTCTGTGTTCCCGAATTTTGGTCATATGTTCGGGAATTCAGTCCCAAAAAAATGACGAATATATTTTATTATTTTTGTCATTTTTTTCAAGAAATTTACCCTTATAAGGCTAATCTCCTCTGAGCTAAGAACAACATCAAAACTATGAACCTCCTCTAAGCTTTTATTGTTGTACTCCTCTTGTCTTATGGAGTTGTGGTTGCCAGAAAAACTTCCACTCATTGTCATTGCCGGAGAAGTGTAGGTAATCAAATAATTGCCACTGTTACTGTCGGAATATTGCTGCCAAATGGTTTTTAAGGTTTTGAGGGTGGGTAGGTTTTGAAGGTGCTGGATCGACGGTGATGGGGGTATGTGTTCTCATAAACCCTAATTTATGATGTAGTGAGTGTGTAGGTTTAATTATGAGATACGGTGTCCCAGAATTAATAATGTCTTTTATAGTAATTTTATTTGAAGTTATTACTGAATAAAAAAAAAGGGCTAAAAATTGAGGGGTCCAAAATAATTTATGGGGTGCTAATAACAACACTCAAAATATAAACTAGTTTGACAAAAATAAATGTCAAAAAAATATTTTTGAATTTTTAAAAATTATTTCTACCCACTAAAGATAAAATTATTTAAAATTGAGAAATTTTTTAGCATTTATTTATTTTTACCAAATTAATTTTTATTATGTGTTTGAATTATTATCATGCAATAGGTGGTTATTTTTATTTTCATAAAATTAGTTTCTATTTTTTGAAAAGTCAAATATGTTGACAACTTTGATTTCACTATTAAACTAATCCATTAAATCAAAAAATCTAAAACTGAAAATATTTCATATATTAAATATATCAATTATACATTAAAAGCCTAATAACCACCCATTACATCATCTAAATACATAATAAAAATTAATTTGGTAAAATAAATAAATAAATGTCTAAAAGATTTATCAATTTTACATAATTTTATCTTTGGTGGGTAAAAATTATTTTTAAAAATTCAAAAATATTTTTTTTGACATTTATTTTTGTCAAATTATTTTATATTTTATCAAATTAACAACTTTGCCCTTGAAATTGAGCAATGGTATCTTCAATTGTCCTTAAATGTGTCACAATTGAAAAGTCAAGAACCAAAGTAACATGAGCCCCAAACTATAGAAACTCTTAGTGTAATTCGCCATATTTTAAATTTTAAAATGCTATAACTTTTGATTTAAAAGTCGATTTTTAATAAAATTTATATTTTTAGAATTCTCTCATTAAGATCTATCAAACAAGATCGAGGTTGACTATGAAATTCGTTACAAATAAAATAAAATAAATAATACTGTCGAAATTGACGTAAACGGTAACATGGTATTCTGTTTGACAATAACATGTTACCCTCATTGACAGTAATATTTTACTGTCTGTTCTGAACAGAACATCAACAACAAAAATAGAGTACGACCTTTCCTGTATATGAACTCACACTATTGCTAGAAATTAAAACCCATACATACTCGTAGAATACACAATAATAGCTTCAAAAACCCTCTTTGTGCTAATCGAAAATGGCACATTAGTAGCACATCGTAGAATATCAATTTACATAGTCAATTAATACAATAAAGTTTGCATATTTTTTTCTCTCCAACCACTGTTAATGTCTATGAGAAATCCAGAAATGATAATAAATTCAGAGCAATGACGGATCTTATTGAGGTCTCCGACTAATCGCGCCGCCACGAACAATGGACCGTGAATGGCTCCGATCATGGGTCTTTCGTAATAACTTTTCCTATGTTCTTCTTTCGCTCATCAATCGTTATCTTCTTTTTCTTCTTCTCTCTCTTCGTTAATCTACTATGCATTCTTTAGAGTATATTTTTAGAATTCTCTCATTAAGATCTATCAAACAAGATCGAGGTTGACTATGAAATTCGTTACAAATAAAATAAAATAAATAATACTGTCGAAATATATTTGCCTGTCCTTCATAAAAAACACAATTTTTGCTAAAGGAGTTTAGGAAGTAAAACATTTTGAGTTGTCCTCTACATAATAGTGCTTTGGGAAGTTGGTAAAAAATTAACTTTTTGACTTTTTTGACAAAAAGCTAGGTTCTTTTGAATAAAAAAGCTGACTTTTTTGACTAGGCCTAGTTTGGGAAGACTAAATAAGTGCATTTTTTGACTTTTTATGAAATATGAGTTGGGTTTGGGTTGGGTTTGAAGTGATGTGTTAGAGATGTGATGTGACTTAAATAAGATGATGTGACTTAAATAGGATAGTGACTTTTTGATTTTTTTTCAATCATGCCAAACTTTAGTTAAAAAAGTTAAAAAGTTTCCTTTTTTTAGCGTCTTCCCAAAGTACCCCATATTAACATGTTGGACTTAAGTGGTTTTGGTGAAAACTTTTCAAAAATTTTGTACACATAAAATATTTAGATTCAAAATTATATTTTTATTTTAAAAATAAATTCTCATATATCGCACAGGTGGCATTAGCTTATATCATTGAATTATTGCTTATATCATTGAATTATTATCAATTATCAATATTGCGTTTGTATTTGGGGCAAATAACCAAGTGGGTTTTGTTCATTTTAGCAAATGGGTATGTTTTGGTTCAATTTACCACATTGTTTATTTGCTTAAGGGTTTTTAGGATTTGAATCTGTTGGTTGTTTATCTAAGGATTATTAGGATTTGAATCTGTTGGTTTGTTTAGTTTAGGGTTTGTTTTGGTGATAATGATTATTTAGATGCTGATTTGTATAAATACTAGCGAAATTCCCCGTGCCTAAAAGCACTATACTATTCAATTATTCAGGGAATAACACTATCTCCTTTGTCAACTATACATTTTAACTAAAAAGTCAAAAAGTCACTATAAGTTGTCACATCGCTATCTCAATTTACCAAAAAAAGGAACAAAAATCAAATAACATTAGGCTCTCTATCATTTAATTATTATCACAATTATGGTTGCCACTGCACATTTGCTATGCAAAGACTCAATGCTCTCCATAGCAAGAAGGGTATCACTATCAATGGCATCGACGACGAGACCATCTTCTCCAAATTCTCTCTCCAAACTCATCATGAATTCAAACAATTGTTTCGGGGGATCGATAAAGCTCACAACCTTAGTTCGACAGCTCCGACTTTACAAACCCCCTCCTCCGACGATCGATGAAACAACCGATGTCGAAGAGCAGAGAATCGAAGAGAGTGCAGGGAAGGTGGTTTCTCAGGTGGGTTTTGTCGAATCTGCAACCCCAATTGCCGGAAAACCCGAAAGATTCAGACCCAAGAGAGCCTCTGTTCTGATCTGTCTCTTTGAAGGGGATGATGATGATCTTCGTGTCATTCTCACTAAGCGCGCTTCCAAGCTCTCTTCTCACTCAGGTTACTATATATATATATATATGTTTCTGAATTTATGTATATACATACATTTATGTATAATCTAGTGGATGTCTTTGGTTGATGATGATTATTGCGTTTGTATTTGGGGCAAATAACCAAGTGGGTTTTGTTCATTTTAGCAAATGGGTATGTTTTGGTTCAATTTACCACATTGTTTATTTGCTTAAGGGTTTTTAGGATTTGAATCTGTTGGTTGTTTATCTAAGGATTATTAGGATTTGAATCTGTTGGTTTGTTTAGTTTAGGGTTTGTTTTGGTGATAATGATTATTTAGATGCTGATTTGTATAAATACTAGCGAAATTCCCCGTGCCTAAAAGCACTATACTATTCAATTATTCAGGGAATAACACTATCTCCTTTGTCAACTATACATTTTAACTAAAAAGTCAAAAAGTCACTATAAGTTGTCACATCGCTATCTCTATTTTTCCGGAGTAATTCTATTTACACACCACTAAACCTGTCAGTTCACACTATATTCTCCTATTTACTCAATTCACACCACACCTAAATTGAAAAGTTTGATTTTATCTCACTACACACTCTTATTTTTTAAATAATACCAAACTACCCTCCCAAACCCTAACCATAACCCTAATCACTAGCACCACCGGCAACCGGTAGTCACAACTTCTCGCCTCCGGCCGTCGTCCCTCCACCACTCTTCATTCTCCCACTCTCTCGTCGCCGCCGCTTTCCCATCCCTACCATCAGCCCCATTTCACCTCTCACAGCCTAACATTAGATGTCTCTCTCTCTCTCTCTCTCTCTCTCTCTTGTTGCACAGTGGTGGGTCACAACTGTGTGGGTTGCATAGCGGTGGTTGCAAAGGCGATTGGTGGTAGGGCAACAGAATTGGAGGGTTGCGATAGGGGCTGCGATGGTGGCCAGAGAGGGAAGTCGTCATTGTGGTTGCTCGGGTACAACAGATGGAGGTCAAAAGTCGGTCGCATCAACCATCGCATCTGCCATAGCTAGCCTTCTCTCTTATCCTTTTCTTCTTCTTCAAACCTTAGATCTATGTTTTCCAGATCTCTTAATTGGTTATGGCCATGGGGATTGTTGGCAATGGTGATGGCCGGCGGTGGAGATTGGGCTACGATGGTAGTGGGAAAAGTGAGTCGTAGTGGTGGTGGTTGAGGACGGCAGCAGAAGGTGGCGGAGGCTGGTGATGATGATGGTGGTATGTGTTGAGAGATTAGGGTTTAGAAATTTGTCCAAAAAGGTAATTTTACCGTGGGACAAATTGTGTAATATAAAAACAGAGAGTAATAGTGTATACTAAGAGTATTGAAGGTGTGGAAATAGAATTTTTCATTTTTCTGCACATATTTTCATAAAAAGTCAAAAAATTACTAAAATAAACCGTTCCCAAACGAGGTTTATTCAATTTTATCCACTTAAAACTATGTCACACAAGATGTTATTCAAAAACTGATAATAAAGATATTTTTTCTCATTTGGGGACTTTCTTTTTGCTGGTGATAGCAATTATTGGAGTTAAAGGTCACTCGGGGTGGGTCTCCGGCTAAAATGGGGTATGGCAGCAAGATCTACGTAGTCTTATAAAAGGAGAGTTTGTCCAATACTATAATATACAAAGCTCTATATTCAATAATGGTCATAGTTTTTTCGAAGGCTGCCATTTGTGGTAGAGGCTTTAAAACCTCCAATCAAAATGGATATTTATTTTTATTTTGTGTGTTTGCATGATGATACAAAGCCTCCACTCAAAGGGAGGCTTTTAAAAGCTTCTACTTTAGGTTGAGGCTTTCAAAGATCTAATTGAAGTGAAGTGGAGGGTTTAGCTCTGAGAGAATTCTTTTACTCACCTACTCTCTTCCTGCATGGCACATGATGTGGCAAAACCGATCCTAGATTGGGAAATAGTTTGTGGTCAACACTAATTTAGGATTCTTTCTTAAAAACAATTATTTTGGACCAAATTCCTGATTGTTGTGTGTATTGGGTGGGGTTTTGTTCATTTCAGTAAGTGGTGTCTCTTGCTGCTTATAATTGGTTAAAATGTATTCAGTTTGTTGATTTCAGCTGTTGGGTATTCTTTGGTTGCAGGTGAAGTTTCATTGCCAGGTGGGAAAGCAGAGGAGGGAGATGCAGATGATGCGGAAACAGCAACTAGGGAAGCAAATGAGGAGATAGGGTTGGACCCTTCTCTTGTGAATGTTGTGACTGTCCTCGAACCATTCTTGTCTAAGGTACCTGATGACATTAGTTTAGTTGTTTTTCTGTATATTTGCATCTTTATGATCTGTATTTGCATCTTTGTGTCATGGAAGTTTCAGTTTGTCTTTTGTAGGCAAATGAGCTTTTGTGTTTTTCTTCCGCAAAGTAAAAGATTTTGCGTAAACTAATCTATGAACTCGTGATAGTCCTTGTGGTATATTGCCACTTGAAATTCTGATAGTGGAGTGTTGCTGAAGTTAACATTGATTAGAAGGAAATGGAAGAGATGAGTGTATGAAATATTTGATGCTAAATCAAAAGGATTTTTGGAAATAAACTGTGAGACCCAGAAAATCCTCTCACATGGATGTTGATGAGCTCCAACGAAGAGATGAGCTTGCTGTTGTAATCTGCAAGGATAAATGTAGTGGGCGCCACCCAACTGGGGTTGCCGGCCGGAGATACTCCGATAATAAAGTTAGAATCCATGAATGAAGAGTATAGATAGTAAAGAGTGTTGTGGGTGTAGTGTAGAGAGAGATGACCTCCCTTTTGTGTATGGGGTCTCCTCCTTATATAGGGGATAGATGATATTTGTTTAGGATATTTTACCCATATATCAAAATATTTTTCTGGCTTCCACATAAACAATATGTTTCTGTACTAGAATTGGCAAGCACATCCCACCTTCCCTTTCAAATGCTCATATCACCATTATGTTGTCAGCCGTCCCTGAATTCCTCAAATATTGACTTTATAAAGTGCTTCATGCTCATGAACCTGTGGCATCATTACTGTAATTTGTGCATTTTATTTCTCTTAAACATCTTCTTGAACATTAATTGACCTTGAATTTATATTCAGACTGAAAATTCAACAATTCAAAGCACATGTTTATGAAATGAGGTGTTAGAGTTCGTAAATATTACTGATTCTACTTTGCAGTTTCTCTACCAAGATAATAAAGCTGCTGATTGTTATCAATTGATTGTTTGGCTTCCTTGCATTCAGTTATTAGTTGACTAATCACATTACTGATTAGTTTACAGAATTCAACTTGGACGTAATAATCACAAAAGCTCTTTGATGATAGAACTTCTTTGCTGACCCTCCTTTATATTGTTATTCTACATGTGCTTAACTGTCTACCTTGCATTTTCCTCCCTCCCCAGAAAAAGGACAAATAAGAGAAGAGAATGAAGGCGGGGAAAATGGTTGTTAGATGTTAATGACAAAGAATTGAACTTTAGTGGCAGGAAGTTTGGACCAGAATATTTGAACTCACTATAAGAGCTCAATGACATTGGACCCTTAGAAACGGATATTGAATCTTTATTAGCCAAATGCCCCTATCAACTCAATCTGAAAAAGGAATAGAATGCAGTGAACTCTGGTGAAACGCCTAGAGAACTTCGTTGCTACCTTTTCTTAATAGATAAGAGATTTGTGGACCCTTTGTCTGAACATCCTAAAGATATCAACATCCATGAGATCTTCACTCTTATTAAGTTCTATGTATGCACTAGCCACCCAAGTTTCATACATGGACCATGATTTTAATACCTCTTTGTTGGAAGTCATGATTATTATTTTGGTATACAGAACGCTTAGGGGTTGGATTATCAACAAGAATTGAGGATGTTTAGATAGGGAAACTTTCTTGAATGAAAATGAAAAGCATGGCTAGGATCTTTAAAATATTGTGCTCCAAACTTCTTTGGCTGAGTTGTGATTGGTGCGACTTGATGTTGTAGGAACACATTAAAACTAGTCTAAATTTGCGATTTGGGACTGTCTTTGAGCCTAATCAAATAAATCTCTAAACCATAACTAAACCAACTAGAAACTGGTCCAACCACCAATTTAATCTGGACTACAACCACATGAACCCAAACCAGTGAACAGATAACATAACATTTTTATATTCTCTTTGCCTGCTGAATAGGACCCATCTTTGAATATAATTATACGGTCACTTGAGTTTGATCATAAGTTAATTTAACTCTACTTTTGCGTTTTCAATAACATCTTCATTTTCTATGCAGCATCTCCTCAGAGTAATTCCTGTTATTGGCATACTTTCCAACAAAAAAGCATTCAACCCTACTCCAAATGCTGCCGAAGTGGAAGCAGTATTTGATGCTCCCCTGGAAATGTTTATAAAGGTTCTTTCTAATCCTGTTCCTTTTTTCGCCTCTAATTGCCAATTTGGATTCAATTGTTTATACAGACTCATTTCCAACGTTTTGATTCAGGATGAAAATCGGAGAGCAGAGGAGAGAGAGTGGATGGGGGACAAGTATCTGATTCATTACTTCGACTATGAAACAGATAGTAAGAAGAAGTATGTGATATGGGGTTTAACGGCCGGGATTTTGATTAGGGCAGCATCGGTTGTGTACCAAAGGCCACCAGCTTTTATTGAGCAGAACCCCAAATTCAAGGTTTCTAAAGTTCTCGACAAAGATATACTATAATGCCTTAGAACTACTAGCAATATTGTTCTAGTTAGATGAACATTTGTGCATAAAGGGGACTTGTAGAGACCAAGATGAAAAGGCATTTCTTACCTTGTGTAAACCATTCGACCACGAAGTCAAGAAAGTGCTGCAAAGAAATTTGAGAAGCGACGAGGCAACTGATATCTAACATCGAAAGGAAACATTAGCGTAGAGTGAATTGTGGGGTGCGTTGTTACTGGCGGATCTTCCTTCAGGTGAGTTGGCGTAAGGAGTGTGAAAATGTTGTCCACGTACAGATCTTGATTGGTTGGTTGTTCGTGCAAGGTTCGTTCCAAGTTCAGGAACCTTGTTCGGTTGAAGAACCTTTAATTCAGTTTTAAACTCATGCATCAAGATATCTTTACATGTTAACAGCATGAGAATGTTAGTATTTTGTTGTCAGAAATATTCTGTAATATTTCAAAATGAAGCTGAAATTTGCTTGACTATTCGATTCCATATTCATATTTTATGTTGTTTTATATTGCAGACTTTACCAAAACTCACCAGCCTTAGGTGAGAATAGCCCTTACTATCCAACTCACAGCTGATTAAACTACTTCAGAGAAATCCTAGCAACTTCTAGCTTCATCAAAGCAATTTAGACCCAAACTGTATATGTTGTACCGTTAACTTTACCTTACCCAACTGCCCAAGTTAATGCTAAAAGAATGCTGCCAAGGGCACTGGTTCTAAACCTGGAAGTAATAAAAGGTTACAGTATCACAATAGGCAACATCCTCTTACAAGATCGGCGTAAATATCAGAATATCTTATGTGTTGATCACTCTGATATCAGTTGACCATAGCAACCGCAAAACATATGTGAGGTCGAATACGCATCATAGCATATATTAGACTATTGATTGCACACACACATGAAACATTAGTCATCTGCCTCTTTAGTGGTTAAGGAGAGTCCGATGGATGTCCAGTTGAGCTATCCCATGGGTCCGGTTTGGATCAGTTTGGACCAATGGCCAATGTGGTGCATCTCTTGCTTTATAAATAAGTTTATAAATCGACAGTTACTACGTTCAAAGGCATGGGAAAAACTCAGGTACAACTCTATGCAGGCCGCGTAGATAGTCATTAAGATATTGTGTTATAACCATTTTGCTCAATTGTAAATGTTTTAAATCAACATTTGTGGGATGCAACATTGAAACTAATACTAATAATGGTTTAACTAAGGTAGCACACAGAAACCTCTTAATGACAACATACATGGTTAGAACTGTACCCAACTTACAAGCAATATATATACTTTTTGGCCATTTATTAGTATACATTGTACTAAAAAACATAATTCGATCAAATTCTCAATGCCTTCCCTTCCGGAAGGGCCAAAAGATCAAGAGTACACAATCACACGGGCAGAATGTAAATGTATTCAAATCACATACTTGACAATAAAAGAAACATCACACCCAAAATTATGTATTCCTTGTGAGAAAAAAAGTAAAATTAACAATAGCATTATGGTGTTCAAGTTCAAAAATACGCTTGTGTAGTCCCTTAAACTGAATTTCATCCTTCCCAAATATCATCCGTATCTGAGCTCTATTTAATAAATGATAAACATTGCAACTCAGTATCTATTTCATATCAGGAATAGTTTCAGATGACAAAGGAAAGCAGAAATTCCAACAAACTTAATTATGACAACAAAAAAAATTAACAAAAAGCAGTTGTTAAAAAAAATTACAGAGAAACCCATATATTTAGCCGCTTCAGGTAAATACCTCGTAAAATTTCTCAATAACAAGCAAACCAGAATCAATGGATTCCAGGGGATCCTTCCGAAGACGGTGTCTTAAGCAGTTGGGAATGACGGTTGCAATATCCTCTGTTGTTACTGTATCTCTTCCTTTAAGGGCAGCCAAAGCTTTCGCTGCCCTATTTGTCACTATATCGCCTCTCAATCCATCAACATTCAGCTCCGCACAAACGCTAGAGATTTTCACACGGAGTTCACGATCAATTTGAACTGATGAAAGAGAGTTTCTAGCTGAAGCAATTTGATGTTGGAGTTTCTCTTGTTCCTCCTTGTAAGAATCTCTGAATTCCTTAGGGTTTTGATCAAACCGAGCTCTCTCCTCCACAATCTTTACTCTTAACTCAGCATCCCTCACGGTCCCTACTTGTGCATGCATTCCAAACCGATCAAGCAACTGTGGCCTTAGCTCTCCTTCTTCAGGATTTCCCGAGCCTATTAGTATAAACCTAGCGGGATGTGAAATTGAAATTCCCTCTCTTTCAACTGTATTCCATCCTGAGGCAGCTGAATCCAAAAGAACATCCACTAGATGATCATCTAAAAGATTGACTTCATCAACATATAGAATTCCTCTATTAGCTTTAGCAAGAAGGCCGGGCTCAAATGCCTTGACACCCTCCGTAAGGGCCTTTTCTATGTCAATTGTTCCACAAACTCTATCTTCCGTGGCACCCAATGGCAAATCAACCATGTTGATTTTGGTATTCACGACAGGAACTTCTTCGCCTCTCACAACTCTTTCTTGGACTTCCATGCCCATAGATTCCGGATCTTCTGGATCAGAGTTAAAAGGATCACCAGCAACTACCTTGATTTCAGGAAGTAAATCGACTAAAGACCTAACAGCCGTAGATTTTCCAGTTCCTCGGTCACCCATAATCATGACACCCCCAATCTTGGGATCAATCACATTTAGCAGAAGGCATAGTTTCATCTCATCTTGTCCTACTATAGCAGAGAATGGATACACTGGCCTCTGATTTTCCTTAGAGGCAAGCTTCCGGGCCTGAAATCGACAGAGTTCACAATCTTTATCACACAATAAACTCAAACTGTAACTACAGTTCTTCGATGACACAGCTCACAATCTATCTTGTTAGAATCTTACAATTCACTATTCGACCCATAAAATTTTATACGAGTTTAAACCAAAATGATTCAATTGTTGTTGAATCTTAAATTGAGTGAATCTTACGATTCAATTGTGATTCACTGTGATTCAGTTTTGTTTGTATAATGCATGAAGCATGGTTGTTTTTGCAAAATAAAAAAGAGATTAATTAATTATATTGATATACATACTAGTTTTATATGTATATATATACAATTTAGTTATGTCGACACTTATCTTATTTTAAACACTATGTTATATATAAAATTATAAATTATGCTAAATAAAGTGAATCTTACATGTCACAATTCGATATGATTCAGTTCACTATTTTAGCAAAACAATTCACCATCCGATTCCTGAGTTAGACAACAATGCTTAAAACCCCTTTGCTAACACTCTTTTCTCCAAAATACATCGTTTAAAGAGGAAATACCAGAAACAAGCAACCACACAAACCTTTCAACAAACATCTAAACTGCAATTTCAACTCTCTTAAGTCCCACCCAACAAAGCACAAATTCTTTACATGTAATATTTCAACAAGCCAATTTAATAACAATTTTTATGCTTCCACCTAAAATAATAGCACCAGATAGAAATTAAACACTGTAATCTGTATCTGAAGACAACCCAGACATACAGAAACTTCCATACCTGTTCTTGGGCAGGACTGATTTCAGTGGCAACATTAGTAATAGAAACACGGAACTGAGACCTCTCCTTCTTCACTGGAATTGCAATCCCTCCATAGAATTTCCTCCCATAACTCTGCCCTAAAATCACAAATTTTCTTTAGAAATTCCAAATTCTGATTAAAAAAAAAAACCCCCACATCTTATCTTCATGACTAACCTAAAAAGATAAAGCAACCATGAAATTAAGCTAAAAATGAACTGGGTCTCTGTCATATAATCTTTACCCAAATCCAAGAATGTAAAGAAATGAAATGTTGTTCTACATATCAATACAGATATACATATAGATATACCTGGGGTTGGAGAGAGAGAATGAATGGGGCACTTGGAGGAGCGAGAAGAAGAAGGACGAGAGGCGAAGAGTGCTGCAGAAGAAGTTCCGAGAACACTGGCCATTGTCCAAGTCTGTGTTTGCAGAGAGAGTTGAGTTACAGAGTGTGTATTTGCTGGAGTTCAGAACTTGACATGGCATTGGTGTCTAGTACTGGGTTTGTTTGGCGTGAGGATAAGACGGTAGATTTCCAATCTCAATTTTGCTCTATTTTTTTTTATTTTTATTTTTTGGTCTATGCTAATATCACGTAGGTCCAACATCCCTTAAGACCACAGGATCACATCAGCCCCAACAAAATTTTATGGCTCCACTGACCATGATTTATTTATTTATTTTTGGTGTTGAGTTTAGATTATGAATTTTATTTGGAGAAGTTATTTGAAAGCCCAATTTAAAAGGGTATAAGTTTATTTAGTCTTATAATCTTTTGAATATTTTTAAAAATTTATTACTTTTTTTTTCTTCATTCTTCGTTGTATATTTATTTTTCTGTATTTTTTTCTCTTCATAATTTCTGGGTGACCGACGACCATGTCTTACTTCTTTTCTTTTCTCTTTCTAATATATAGTTACCGATGACCGACGACCATCATTGCTTGGGGTTCACCGATAACCACCGACCATCAACTCTTTACTTTACCTTCACCGACGGCGAAAGAGACAAGTTTCCGGCGAAGAAGATGAGTAGATCTACTTGAATCTACATCAGATTTGAGTAAATTTACATGAGATCCGACTAGATCTGAACCAAAAATATTTGTCGTAGTACAATATTCTCTCTATATCTGTTTCTTTCATTTGATTTCTCAATTTTTCTACATTTTCTTTACTATACACCTCTATTTTCTTGTTTTAATGGAGAAAATTTTCAAGTTCTGAACAAGTTGTTTTTAAGTTTTAGTTACAGGTGGTAAAAATTGTAAAATTTTACAGTTTTTAGTTTTTTTTTGTGTGCTGAAATGAATCATACTTTAAAATTGTAAAATTTTACAGTTTCATAACATTCTTTAGAATTATAAAATTTTGTAGTTTCATCACATGTTTTTCAGTTTGATTAATAAGGATAAATACTTAATAGAATTATACTTTGAAACTGTAATATTTAACAGTTTCAAACTTACTTTTCAGTTTGGTTAATATTAGAGATTATTTGTTTAAACCCTACAAAAATTAAAAAATAATATATACTTTTTCGCATTGTCGTTTGTTGTTGCTATTTTATTTTATTTTTTTTCCCTTTTCAGTTTATCAATATTTAACACTTTTTGCTATTTTTTTCATTATAATTTCTCCATTTATTTATTTATTTTTTACAATCTTCTAGACATTCTGGTGAATCTCTGATGATATTCTTGACGTTCAACGAACATTATGGACATTCCGGCGACTTCCAGTGACGTTCAGAACACTCCAGCAAGACTCCGGCGACTTCCCGATGATATTGAATATTTCGGTGAGTCTTCGGTGACCGTGTGAAGGAAGTCCAGCGGTGGTGGGATATAATAGCGTTTTTAAAGTTATAAAAAAAAAAAAAGATTTTTTTAGTAACAATTAAAAATATGTAGGACTAATTGGTGTAAATGTTTTCTTTTGTAACTAGATGGGTTTTGAACTTTGTGTAATGAATTTATTGGTAAGTGCTCCTATTATATATTTTTTCTTAAATTCTTATTTAAATTTATAATCTTTTTTTTCCTTAAAAATCTCCATTTAAATTTATGGTCCGAGGGTTAAAAAATTTTTTTTGCTTTATGCTATCATAGCTTTTCCTTTATTTTTAGGGTATAACATTCATTGTCAAGTTAGATTAGGGGAGCCTCCAAAGTTATTATGAGACATTTCTTCATTTCTTCGAACATTTTTATAAAAAATTATTGCAATTTTATCTTATTATTAAACACCTCTTGTACCTCAATTATTAACCTTCCTGACCTTAAACCTAATCCCTCTCACCTATCATTAATTAACAGCTTCGGCCACTCTTCCCAACTCTAATTGTTACCAACCCTAAGTCTAGTGTCACAGACCACCCTTCCACATTTCCTTTTTGCTATCGCCTAATCACCTCCGATTTAAGGCTGGTTTGGCATCACTTACAAAAGTTAAAAAGTCATTAAAAAAGTAAAGAAGTTTACACTGTTTGGCGGGAAGTCTGTGGGTTCAACAAAAAAAAAAAAAAAATAGTGCAGCTCAATGCTGCAATACAATTCCTCCACATGCAATACGTGGCTCAATGTAAGCTACACATTCCCATAGAAAAACATAAATTGAAATACACGGACAGCTTGCTTCATGTGTCAATAGGGGCAATTCGGTAATTTTGCGAGTTGATATAATATTTTTTATACATTTTTTTTCATAAAAAGTCAAAAAATTATCCCAAACATACATATTTTTTCCTTCTACTTTTTTAATCATAAAGTTAAAAAGTGTACTTGTATAATTCATTTCAAACAAGCCCTTAATATTTCTCAAAACTCCTAAATCCTTTATGATCATTTCTTACTTACTCTCATGCCTTCAACCCCTTGATGAAGTACGCACATGCACGCGCGCACACACACGAGAGAGAGAGAGAGAGAAATTGCATTGCATATGAAAAAAGAATAATAAAGAGAGGATACCATAGGTTGTTAGAGGATGAGGAGGAAAGAGATTTGAGAGGATAGAGATGGGGATAAGGAGTTGCGTCGAATGTAAAAAGGTTTGGAAAGTTCTACAAAGTTGGGTAAGGAATTTGAGGGTTTGCGTCAAAGTTGAAGAGGGGTTAAGGCATGGATTTAGAGGACATGTAAGGATGGAGTTGGTAGGTAGAACTAGGAAGGGGTGAGAGGGTGGCCAGGTCTAATGGAAATAGATGAAAATAGATGAAGGGGACATAATGGTTAAGTTTTGAAAAGATAGATGATAATTTTAGTATTACATGAGATGTTAAAGAATATTTACAATTAATTAATGAGTAATTCTATTTTCACTCTACATAAAATCTCAAATATAATATTTATATAATTTAGATATAAATTTTTAAACAAAAGTTAAATATTTAGATATGATTCACATGAACATATGAACCAAAAAAAAAAAAAGTTATTCGAACATAAATAATTAAATAATATATATATATATATATATATCTGAACTATTAATTTTTATTCATAAATTAATATTCAAATATTTAATTTTTACTCATAAATTTAGGCTAAGTTTGGAAAGACTAAATAAGTCTCCTCTTTTTTATTTTTTTATCTTTTTTGAATTACATCAATCAATATTTCTTCTCTACTTTTCTACACACATTTTTATAAAAAATTAAAAAATACATTTATTTAGAACATCATAAATCACCCCTCATAATAACACAAATAATACGCACCGCGATTTCACCTGCGTGCGAATAGAATTCCCATTCCCCGCCCGTTCACCTTTCAACACTATAAATAACGCGTTTATTCAAACGCATCTTCAAAAAAAAAAAAAAAACTCCATTTCTTCGCTCGACTCAACAGATTTGGTCTCCACATCTTCTTCAAAACAATAGGCAACGTTTCTCTCACCTCGCAACATCACAACCAGGTACACCTCTCTCTCTCTCTCTCTCTGTATGTGTGTATATAATACAACATCATTATCATCAGATCCCTGCGAATCTTCTCATTGATCGAACTTCCAATATTCAACAAGTGTTCCTCTGAAACCTAAGGTTATGGATTTCTTTTGATGTAGAAATTGATTGTAATTTTTCTCATACACGTTTCTATTTTTTACCTTATGGATTTGTAAGTGATTTCTATTTCAACTTTCTAATTTGATCCGGTTTTAGTTATTCAATGAGCTTTGATTCCATCAAAATCATTGTAACGTTTGCAGAGCAAGTGATTTTGAGTTGATTTTCTAATAGTTCAATATCTACTTGATCTCATACACTGTAGGTCAGGGATTTGTCATCTTCAGTAAATATTTCGAGTAATTGTTCACGATCTAGTTTTAGTCATTAAATTAGCTTTAGTTTGGTCAGCAATCACTGCGAAATTTGCAAGTCAGGTGATTTTCAATTTGATTTTTAATTTCATTTTGATGTGTTTAATAGTTTAGCATCTTGTTAGTTTTGTAGAGCAGTTCATGAATTTGTTGTGTTGAATGCCCATAATTTTGGTCATATTGTTGAATTTGATCTCTTTGTTTTGTGGATTTGTATATTTCAGTTATATTTTGAAGTAAAATTTTACTCTTTCATTTTGGCTTAATTTTGATCATTTGAGTGAATTGTTTCCACTAGAAGTCTGTGTTAACTATCATTTTATTCTTGTGTTGATTCCACCAGTAAATTGTAATTTCAGTGGTTAAGGCAATTTCGATTTGCTAGTATAATTTAATTATTATTTTCCGCCTTTAAGCACTAAGACTTAAGGTTTTCAGTTGATAGGCTTGGAAAATAGCGAGCACGCACTGTCTTAATTTTGATTGGATCCAGTAGATAAATAGAATATACTTTAGTTTGATTTTGGTTATGAATTTGATTTCAGGCATTACTTAACTTATCCTTTCAATTCCCCTTTAATTTAATCACCTGTTTTGAAGTTTCAGTCATTGGTTGAGATAGATATGAACATATTGAGCAGTATCAGCAATTATTGTTTTGCTTGCTATAGTTATAAAGAAACTTGTTTTTGTTACTTAATCATAAAAACTCAGCTTCAAGTTTCAACCAAGCCAGTAGTCATATTTGATGTCCAGAATTTAAGACAGAGAATTGCCTTTTGTTCCTTGACATGGAAAAATCTGTTCAAACAAGCAAAGTAGTTCAGTCAGGCTTAAGTTGGAGTTCTGTTGTTTTTCCACCTTCCGTCAGAGCAGCTAAGGAAACAAAAATGGATAGAATAAATAGATTGTCATAACTTGCGGAAGACAATAATTGAATGAGGAACATAATAAAGTAATCGTAAGATCCAACCTTTCAGATACTGTAAAATGGCAAGGATTTTGCAGTGGTAAATTGGTCTGGCAGGTAGTTCTTCTGCAGTAGTAAATAACAAAGTATGAATTCTTTAACAATAGCTTGTGGCTGCTTCTTGTTTACTTGTGCAACCTTTACCTTTAGGAATTATGACTGATTTAGCCAACAAAGCTCATTGAAAAGTATGCATTCAGCATTTGTATGACATTTTGAGTTATCTTTTATTATGGCAGCCAATTTATCACCTGCTAGAATTTGAGAGAGCCCTGTCGCTTTGCCATCTTCAATCATTCCTTGCTGTTATATTAAGACCACATGGAATCGTCTTCTATTTCCTCTTGCAAGTTTTTTCAAAATGTTGAAATTATGCATTTGTATAGTAGGTTCTTATATCAGCATGCACATAAATTTGGAAGGAGGTCATCTTTTGTGAATAAAGAAACAAGGAATCTCAGGGTTTTTCATTTATCTATGGTGACAATGTTCTCATAATTAGATAGCTATTAAGTGATCCTGTGGATAACATGTACATAATATGTAGCTCTGTTAGGATGATTCAATTACTAATTTGAATGTAAAGAGGTCAGTTTAGTCATTTTATTTATAGGTCTCTTAGCAAAACATAATACAATTTTCCTGCAGTTACCAGAAACTGCAAGGCTGTTCTTGTCATTTACTTTTGTCACTGTCTGCATGATTACATACACATTTTGAATGTACCATAGGTCTATAGACTTTTGCATTACAAGCAAGACGGCCCAGACCTATATCCAACTGCCTTTTTGATGTTTGCAGGACTCAAGCATAAGATCAATCTATATGCTCTGATGGCAGAATCTCAGAAGAGAGCTTCTTCACCTGTCAATTCAAAAGAGAAAACTACACTACTAGGTATGCTTGCCAAAGCCTTATGTTCCTTGGCGTTGAACTAGAAATTCTAGGAAAATGAAATTGTTGGGGTCAGGATAATCTGTCTCACTGTGACATTGTCAAACGTCAAGGTAGTTGTCAATATTATGGAACCATGGCACAGATAAGAGTCCTAAGAGGACACTGACAAGGAGAATATGCATGAAAAAAGAAGAGAAAATAAATTACTGAACCACAACTACGATACATAGCGTAAAGTTGATTTTTGAGTATCTTTATAGAAAACCCTCTCTGTTGCTTAATGCCTTTAGATGCTGCGAAGTATTGGACTGAAATTTTTTATGTCTGTTCGTTTTCAAGTGGAATATACTATATGATGAGTTTCATCATTTTACTTGTAGCAGACATGGACTTTGGGAAGGACTTCCTTAGCTCCTGGAAGTCAATGCCTATGGCAGAAGATGACGCTATGGATTTTGACTTTGGAACCACTGCTAAAGGCAAGAAAAAGGCATTCAACTTTAACAATCTGTAAGAACTACAAAACCTGGAATTAGTGCTTTTAATTATGATGGAAGGCAAGGTGATTTGTCATCCGTAAAACCTTGTTAACTTCACCAGAAGAATGAATGCTGGATACAGACAAAAAGGGAGAGAGAGAGACAGAGAGCATGACTTCCTTGTGCAATATGTCATAAACTATTATCTATGTTCTTAATCAGCATATACCATCCATGGTGATCAACAAGTGTGATGCCTTAAGCAAAATTGTTTACGCTTCGAGACATAACTAATTTTTTTCTTCAGCAAATATATTTATTTATGCATTACTTTGTCCTGGCCAATAGCACTTATGGCGCAATATTTTCTGTAGGGATGTGGATTTCAATTTTGATGGTGATTTGGACAAGATATCATCATTCAAAGTAGACATATCTGATCTTGACATCTCTTCTCCAACCAAAATAGCTGGAAAATCCAAGGAAAGATCTAAAGAACCTGCTGGTGGGAGTCATCAACAGAAACAAAACGGCTTTTCCTTCCCATTTGATTTTAACGAGTAAGTGTATAAAGATCTTTCATGGGTTATTTGGTGTTTTTCATTGCATAATTTAAATTGTGAAGCTTTATACCTGACTATGTGTTGACAGCCTTGCAATCTACATTTTATCATTGCTTATCTGACACAGTTTTTTCCTTGGAGTTAGGTTGGATAGTTTCAGTTTTGAGTCAAGCTTAACGAAAGAAGGAAAAAAATCCAATAAGAACCAAAAATGCGAAGACATGTCAAATAGAATTGAGTGTCAAGGTTCTGAAACTGACCTGACAGATGCTATTGGTGCATCAGAAGATGGCGTAACCCCGAAGCTTCCAGCATCAGTTGGTGCGATCACTTCAAAGATTGATATTCCAGTTGATGGTCTTGGACTTGTTGATTCCAGAAAAAAGAATTGCACCTCAAATTCTTTAAGAAATGACAATGGCCCTTCAAAATCTGCAACCCTTCAAAATAAAGTTGCATCAGAGGAAATGAGAACTTTGCCAGTGAAGACACCTACCACCACTGTGCAAGAGAAGAGCCAAGAATGTTACCAACAAGAGAAGACAACTTTTCCAGAGCCATGTGCTGAGGAAACCATGCAGGATCTTTCTGTCCAGTCTGTATCTGAAAATGAGTCAACTGAACATAATGCTTCAGAACTACATGTTGAAGTTTGTTCTCTGGCAACAAAAGTGAGTAGCAATACAGGTGGAGAAGAAAATGTCATTTGCAAGTCAATAGCTAATCCTGGGTTTCATTGTGAGAATCAACTGTTGGATAATTCACCTGCTATATATCCTGCACAACATATAACAAGTTCATTGAGCAACAATGGTGAAATGAACAAGTTCGAGAATGATAATAATGTTCCAGTAGGCTATGTAGATGGCACTGAACCAGCTCAAGGTGATTCAGATTCTGGAGAATCTTCAACCATAAGTGTCTCAATGGAAGCAATGCATGGCACAAAGGCTAACACAGATAATCGAAATGCAAATGGAAAGCTCCATTTGGCCTCATTGAGCAGGTCAGATAATCTTCTACTGTGTTGTATTGGTCAAATTTTGTTAATGGGTATTATTTAGAAGGAAATATGGTGACGGGGAATGAATCATGTTGGTTTTTTTCTTTAGTTTTTTTCCCATTAAGCTGGATTACAATTTTATGGATTAGCTGAAATTTAACTATATTTATATGTATACAGTTGCAAAGTTACTTTCCTAACTGTCACTGCAGAACCATAAGGAATATTTGAAAGTTGAAAGGATATTTTGTTCTGATTAATTTTAGATAGAACTTGATGAGCAAATGATATTTTGTATTCAATGAACATGTTTGTAAACTCTAGTGGAAGTTTTGATGAAGGCCGTGACATGAGAATTTGTCGAATTCATGCAGTGGAACCACAGTTGGTAAATTGATTCAAATGAAGGAAAAAGAAACTGGTGTTACACAGTCAAAGTTTTTCAAGAGATCAGATGAAACTAAATCTCAATCACAACAGGCAGCATCAACTCAGAAAAAACTTGCCATGTTTGGTGGCAAAAGTACTAGCCATGGGCAAAATTGTGCTGCAGAGGAAGGAAGGTCAGCAGGCTTTTCATGGGAATTAACTCAACTAAACTATTACATCATTCATGACACAGTGTTCTGTACAATTTTCAACAGGGAGTGTGTTGATGCTAAAGATGCACAAAGTGGGAACAAACTGGTAGGAATTTCAACCTCACATTCTGGAGAACTAAACAAAGGCAAACCTATTCAGCCAGGAAGCATGAGCAGTGTAAAAGCTCTCAAGGGTGTTGGGTGAGGCTTTTTGTATCTGGAATTTTCATTCTATAATACCCAAGGATTTTCACTTTAATTGTGTTGAACTTCTGGTGCTCCAAAATTGGATTGGACCAATACAAGTGAATTGTTCAGTTCTTCAAGGCTAATGGTGTCTTATATAATATATGATAATATATGACAGGGAGCGTTTCAATGCTAATGGTGCACTAAATGGGAGCAAATTGTTTGGTTCTTCAAGGCTACATGAGCGAGAAGTAATTAAAGGTGAATCGGTTCAGGGAAGTGGAAAGAACATAAAAAATCTTACTATTAGGTGAGGCATCTTTATATTGGTTCACATTCTATGCCAATTTTTTTATGGAAAAAGATAGCGACGCCCACTGGGGGAGACTCCCAGCACCCCCAGTGGGTGCTGATTGGCCAACTTTTTTTTTTTTCTTATCAAATCACCACCACTTTACGCTTTATGCTAAAGGTTAGGTGTGTACTGAATCTTTCCCCTCCCAAACACACATTAATGTGTACTTATTGGGCGTTGTTTTTTTTTTTTTTTTAATCAAATCACCAACCCCCGCGTGTGTGTGGGGGTGGTGGGGGAAGAGTGGGGGTCTCAATCAACTCCCTTTTTTTATAATCCTGACTGCGCTATAATTCTCCAGTTTGGAATGGGATTAGATTCAAAACATGATTAGTGTCGTATTTGTCAAGTAACTTGAGTTAGATTGGATTCAGGTTCTCAGCTTACATTATATATATATATATATATATATATTTATGACTCTAGGCATTGATTTTTTTGGTCGATTTATTTTGGATGTTCTTGTTGATATTCATGCTGGATGTTCATCTTTTGGGTTGAATATTATATTTTATGAATGTAGCATTTTTTGGTGCTTTTGGTTATATAATCAGCTAAGAAATAATTATTTACTTCTACTTTGAGAAATGAGCTGTTGTCGCGATTGTTCTCTAGTAAAAGCAAACAATTGTTCTCTGGTAAAAGTAAACTCAAGAAAGCCTATTTTTCTGCAGCTCTTGTTTCAACCCTTCATCTTCATCTGAGCATACAAATAAATCTACCACACGGAACTGCACAAATCCTAGTCTTCCGGCTTTAAGCATGGTATCCGTTAAGAAGTCAAATGATGTTTGTGGTGAAGCGAATAAAGTTTCTCCTCCTAAAGCTGGTAGAAGTATAGTTGATCTCTCTAGCGTGAGGATTTCTAGGTAATATGTTAATTTTGCGTTTTGTTTTGTTGCCTCTTTATCTGTGGTAAAATGGTAATATTGTTACTGATTTTTTGAAAATCACTTCTCCTATCAAAGGACCATAGGAGCAAACAAATATCCATCACAATCTTCGAATCAGAAAGAAGTTAAATCCTTAAGAAACCCAGAGCAAAGCATGGAGCTACAAGGAAGCACAGCATCCAAGATGGCCCATTCTGTTTGCACAGAGAAGCAAACCCCATCCACCCCATGTCTGAAGCGGAAAATGTTTGAGGTTATTCTTTCTCTTTCTATTTTATTTTATTTTTAATTTAAAATTTTTTGGGTTCTTTCCAAAATGAAGAGAAATTTGAGCATTAATGAGAATTTGAGTCAGTATAACACATGATATGTTGGAAATTTGTGTTAATGCATATAATAAGATAGTGGCATGTATATAATATGATAGTGGTGTTGGTGGTAGATAGTGACATGTATAGAATATGATAGTGGTATTGGTGGTAGATAATGACATGTATAGAATATGATAGTGGTGTTGGTGGTAGATAGTGGCATGTATAGAATATGATAGTGGTGTTGGTGGTAGATAGTGACATGTATAGAATATGATAGTGGTGTTGGTGGTAGATAGTGACATGTATAGAATATGATAGTGGTGTTGGTGGTAGATAGTGACATGTATAGAATATGATAGTGGTGTTGGTGGTAGATAGTGACATGTATAGAATATGATAGTGGTGTTGGTGGTAGATAGTGACATGTATAGAATATGATAGTGGTGTTGGTGGTAGATAGTGACATGTATAGAATATGATAGTGGTGTTGGTGGTAGATAGTGACATGTATAGAATATGATAGTGGTGTTGGTGGTAGATAGTGACATGTATAGAATATGATAGTGGTGTTGGTGGTAGATAGTGACATGTATAGAATATGATAGTGGTGTTGGTGGTAGATAGTGACATGTATAGAATATGATAGTGGTGTTGGTGGTAGATAGTGACATGTATAGAATATGATAGTGGTGTTGGTGGTAGATAGTGACATGTATAGAATATGATAGTGGTGTTGGTGGTAGATAGTGACATGTATAGAATATGATAGTGGTGTTGGTGGTAGATAGTGACATGTATAGAATATGATAGTGGTGTTGGTGGTAGATAGTGACATGTATAGAATATGATAGTGGTGTTGGTGGTAGATAGTGACATGTATAGAATATGATAGTGGTGTTGGTGGTAGATAGTGACATGTATAGAATATGATAGTGGTGTTGGTGGTAGATAGTGACATGTATAGAATATGATAGTGGTGTTGGTGGTAGATAGTGACATGTATAGAATATGATAGTGGTGTTGGTGGTAGATAGTGACATGTATAGAATATGATAGTGGTGTTGGTGGTAGATAGTGACATGTATAGAATATGATAGTGGTGTTGGTGGTAGATAGTGACATGTATAGAATATGATAGTGGTGTTGGTGGTAGATAATGGCATGTATAGAATATGATAGTGGTGTTGGTGGTAGATAATGGCATGTATAGAATATGATAGTGGTGTTGGTGGTAGATAATGGCATGTATAGAATATGATAGTGGTGTTGGTGGTAGATAATGGCATGTATAGAATATGATAGTGGTGTTGGTGGTAGATAATGGCATGTATAGAATATGATAGTGGTGTTGGTGGTAGATAATGGCATGTATAGAATATGATAGTGGTGTTGGTGGTAGATAATGGCATGTATAGAATATGATAGTGGTGTTGGTGGTAGATAATGGCATGTATAGAATATGATAGTGGTGTTGGTGGTAGATAATGGCATGTATAGAATATGATAGTGGTGTTGGTGGTAGATAATGGCATGTATAGAATATGATAGTGGTGTTGGTGGTAGATAATGGCATGTATAGAATATGATAGTGGTGTTGGTGGTAGATAATGGCATGTATAGAATATGATAGTGGTGTTGGTGGTAGATAATGGCATGTATAGAATATGATAGTGGTGTTGGTGGTAGATAATGGCATGTATAGAATATGATAGTGGTGTTGGTGGTAGATAATGGCATGTATAGAATATGATAGTGGTGTTGGTGGTAGATAATGGCATGTATAGAATATGATAGTGGTGTTGGTGGTAGATAATGGCATGTATAGAATATGATAGTGGTGTTGGTGGTAGATAATGGCATGTATAGAATATGATAGTGGTGTTGGTGGTAGATAATGGCATGTATAGAATATGATAGTGGTGTTGGTGGTAGATAATGGCATGTATAGAATATGATAGTGGTGTTGGTGGTAGATAATGGCATGTATAGAATATGATAGTGGTGTTGGTGGTAGATAATGGCATGTATAGAATATGATAGTGGTGTTGGTGGTAGATAATGGCATGTATAGAATATGATAGTGGTGTTGGTGGTAGATAATGGCATGTATAGAATATGATAGTGGTGTTGGTGGTAGATAATGGCATGTATAGAATATGATAGTGGTGTTGGTGGTAGATAATGGCATGTATAGAATATGATAGTGGTGTTGGTGGTAGATAATGGCATGTATAGAATATGATAGTGGTGTTGGTGGTAGATAATGGCATGTATAGAATATGATAGTGGTGTTGGTGGTAGATAATGGCATGTATAGAATATGATAGTGGTGTTGGTGGTAGATAATGGCATGTATAGAATATGATAGTGGTGTTGGTGGTAGATAATGGCATGTATAGAATATGATAGTGGTGTTGGTGGTAGATAATGGCATGTATAGAATATGATAGTGGTGTTGGTGGTAGATAATGGCATGTATAGAATATGATAGTGGTGTTGGTGGTAGATAATGGCATGTATAGAATATGATAGTGGTGTTGGTGGTAGATAATGGCATGTATAGAATATGATAGTGGTGTTGGTGGTAGATAATGGCATGTATAGAATATGATAGTGGTGTTGGTGGTAGATAATGGCATGTATAGAATATGATAGTGGTGTTGGTGGTAGATAATGGCATGTATAGAATATGATAGTGGTGTTGGTGGTAGATAATGGCATGTATAGAATATGATAGTGGTGTTGGTGGTAGATAATGGCATGTATAGAATATGATAGTGGTGTTGGTGGTAGATAATGGCATGTATAGAATATGATAGTGGTGTTGGTGGTAGATAATGGCATGTATAGAATATGATAGTGGTGTTGGTGGTAGATAATGGCATGTATAGAATATGATAGTGGTGTTGGTGGTAGATAATGGCATGTATAGAATATGATAGTGGTGTTGGTGGTAGATAATGGCATGTATAGAATATGATAGTGGTGTTGGTGGTAGATAATGGCATGTATAGAATATGATAGTGGTGTTGGTGGTAGATAATGGCATGTATAGAATATGATAGTGGTGTTGGTGGTAGATAATGGCATGTATAGAATATGATAGTGGTGTTGGTGGTAGATAATGGCATGTATAGAATATGATAGTGGTGTTGGTGGTAGATAATGGCATGTATAGAATATGATAGTGGTGTTGGTGGTAGATAATGGCATGTATAGAATATGATAGTGGTGTTGGTGGTAGATAATGGCATGTATAGAATATGATAGTGGTGTTGGTGGTAGATAATGGCATGTATAGAATATGATAGTGGTGTTGGTGGTAGATAATGGCATGTATAGAATATGATAGTGGTGTTGGTGGTAGATAATGGCATGTATAGAATATGATAGTGGTGTTGGTGGTAGATAATGGCATGTATAGAATATGATAGTGGTGTTGGTGGTAGATAATGGCATGTATAGAATATGATAGTGGTGTTGGTGGTAGATAATGGCATGTATAGAATATGATAGTGGTGTTGGTGGTAGATAATGGCATGTATAGAATATGATAGTGGTGTTGGTGGTAGATAATGGCATGTATAGAATATGATAGTGGTGTTGGTGGTAGATAATGGCATGTATAGAATATGATAGTGGTGTTGGTGGTAGATAATGGCATGTATAGAATATGATAGTGGTGTTGGTGGTAGATAATGGCATGTATAGAATATGATAGTGGTGTTGGTGGTAGATAATGGCATGTATAGAATATGATAGTGGTGTTGGTGGTAGATAATGGCATGTATAGAATATGATAGTGGTGTTGGTGGTAGATAATGGCATGTATAGAATATGATAGTGGTGTTGGTGGTAGATAATGGCATGTATAGAATATGATAGTGGTGTTGGTGGTAGATAATGGCATGTATAGAATATGATAGTGGTGTTGGTGGTAGATAATGGCATGTATAGAATATGATAGTGGTGTTGGTGGTAGATAATGGCATGTATAGAATATGATAGTGGTGTTGGTGGTAGATAATGGCATGTATAGAATATGATAGTGGTGTTGGTGGTAGATAATGGCATGTATAGAATATGATAGTGGTGTTGGTGGTAGATAATGGCATGTATAGAATATGATAGTGGTGTTGGTGGTAGATAATGGCATGTATAGAATATGATAGTTTATAATGATGTTTGTAATATCTCCTATATAAGGAGTGTCATTTGGTCTTGTAAAACAAGAAGTTTTGAATATAACAGAAATATATTCCTTCTTCCTCATATTTTCGGAGTTCTTCTTCCTCATATTTTCTAAGTTGATATTATGTCAGAATTATATTGATACTTTACCAATGTTATAACATTATGTAATGCAGGGATTAAATGCAGATATGCTGACCTTAAATCCATCAAAACGTCTTTCACCATCACCTACCGAAAGCAGGTCCTATCCTATCATATTATTGTCTATTTATCTGGTCGAATTTAAAATTTCTAGGTTGTTTCCTGTACTTACACATGTTTTTCTCTGGAATTTAGAAGTGTTGGAGGAAGTTCAGAAAAAGTTGTCAAAGAGGTAGATTTCATCCTTTTATTTTAATTTTTTGGGCATGTTAATGTAAGAGGGTTAAATAAGGATTTGTTGAAACATTGAAACAACTGAAGTCTGATAATCAGGGAATTTTAACTGATGTCCAATGATTTTTTTTTATTATTTATAAATGACTAGGTTTGCAGCCATGAGAATCGCAAAACCTCTACTCCGGATGTTCCTCAGGAGGTGAACATGACAGAACTAGAAATCCCTTTTGTAATGGAAAATGATGTCAATGTTGAAAAGGCCGAAGCATATACAAAGGAGCTTGAAGATGTAAGCATGAACTTTCAAATGACTTGAAATTGTGAACAATCATAAAACTTCTAGGACTTGTTTGTTTGTAGAGAAAATTACCAAAATCTACATACTTGATCCCCAGATGTGGGGTTGAAAAATTAAAAACACTTGTCATTATGGAGATGATCTGTTGTTTCTGCAGATTTGCAACATGCTGAGAAAGAAACACGAGGAGGCAAAGGAAATATTAGTTCGAGGTCTTGTGAACAACAATAATCTGCTGATGCTCAACCATCCGATTTATGAAGAGAAAATATCCTTCCAACTGTTTTCGCTAATACGTTTTTCTTCTTTTCTTTGGGGGGCATAATTTGTGACATAAAACTATAGCTGTTTGCTCCTTTACCACTGAAAACATCCGCAAAGTTCAGAAATTTGCTGCTCGGCTAATGTCCACACAGACATGAGGATCATTTTGCAATTCTCCAAGGTAAGTTCTCTTTCGAATGCCTGATTTTGTATTTCACTATATCCATTTGGTTATTGCCATGCTACATTGGTTCCAGAGACAAGTATTTGTAATGTGGTATCTCATGATTTTGTATTTCACTATATCCATTTGGTTATTGCCATGCTACATTGGTTCCAGAGACAACTATTTGTAATGTGGTATCTCATGCATCGGGTACTCTTTAATGCTCAAAACTACTGCTGATTTTTGTATGTTCTGTTATTGTGTTTGAGATACATGAAGTCCATGTAAGCTTGACCATGAACAACTAACTACATATTCTCTGATGAATGAATCTCTCAAGTTTGTTATGACAACTTAAACTTGAATGAGATTTTCTAGCTGGCAAGACATAGCCCAGCCAGTACTGTTCCTTCCTGGGTTGGCCTTGAGAACTTGTGGGGATTGTGGGGCCACCACAAGTTCAGTTTCGATGATCCAAATCATTTATTTTGTAAGGCCTTTTGTGTATTATCATTTCTGGAAAAGAAATTTAAGTCGATCAAATAATCGTAATATTTTCATTTTATGATGTTTGTCTAAAGAAAATGAATGATCTATTTTTAGAAAAATATGTCATCAATTTTTTGAAGACAAGCATGATAAAATAAATATGTTATGATTAATGTTTGATCATTGATTTTTTCAAATTTACTATATTGCTCTCCCCCAACCTAAAAAAAAAGTCAGGTCAAATTCAAAATACAATTTGAAGGAATTTCATCAGGAAAAAAAAACCATCAAATTTTAATATAATTTTTTTAAGAGACTCGCTCTAATAGTGTATATATATTATTTTTTAGTGTAATTTATTTTTAGGTTATGATTTGATCGTGAGTCTAATAATATATATTTGCAATTTTCATTAAATTAAGTAATGTTATATAAATAAAAAATTTATACATAATTTTTATACATAATATGATTTCATATCAAAACAAAATATTATTAAAAATGAATTTATTTACAATAATGGTAATATTATATCATTCTTGTCAATTTTTTTTTGTATAAATTTTTTATATGAATACAATTTTTTAATTGGGTAGGGTACATTGGTACTCAATGGCAAAAAATCATTTCAATGCAAATTATAAATGATAAATTACAAATAAACTTTTGAAGTTTGCTTAAAATACGAATTATTTTCTGTGATTTGAAAAATTACAAATATCTCCCTATCAGAATTTTTTATTTAACAGAATTAATTGAAAAAATAAAATTTCTAACTGTTCACCTATATAATAATAAAATTATTTGAATTATTAAGTGAAATAAAATTTTGACATTATTAAAAATTATTAATTAACTTAATGATTTATTAATAAAATGACTTATTTGTTATGAAATTAGAAATTGTAAGGGCATAATATAATTTTCAAAACTACAAGAGTAATTTGTAATTTAAGTAAATCTTAGTAGGTGTGTTTGTAATTTACCCAATTATAAAGGAAAAAAAAATTGAGAGCTCTAATAGGTGAGCTCCAGGACTTCATTTGTTTTGGGTTTAAATAGATGAGAGGGGATTAGGATGGAGGTGAGGTTATTTAGGGCCTGTTTGGTAATGTTTACGTTTTCAGCTTATATTTACAAAAATTTTATAAACTGATTTTTGTTTATATTTTGTTTATTTTTAGAAAAACATAAACTACAAATGCGTTTGGTTTAGATAAAATGTTTAAAAAATTTTAAAAATATAAAAAAGAGTGAGAAATGGCAAACGGTGGCGGGTGGTGGGTGGTGACAAGTGGTGGTGGCAGACAGTGGTTAGGAATGGCAATGGGCCGGGCCGGGGCCGGGGACCACCCTTCCTGTCCCCTATTCCCGAAGGTTAAAAAATCCCCGTCCTCGTCCCCGATCCTTGGCGGGGGAACTTATCACCTCCCGTCACCGTCCCCTAACGGGGATCGGGTTTCCCCAACTTCGAAAAATCCCTGAGTTTTTTTTTTTAAAAATTTTGTTCAAGAACAGCAAATCAATACAACAGACCAGATCTGAGTACCAACAATCATCATCAACAGATTTAAATTAAAAAAAAATAATTTGAAAATTTTAAAAAAAAATCAGTATATGTTTTCATCAATCAGATTATTTAAAAAAAATAATTTGAGTACCAACAATCAGTATATGTTTTCATCATCAACAACAAATTTAAATTAAAAAAAAATAATCTGAAAAAAAAAATGTTTTCATCATCACCAACAAGATCAGATCACAGAGAGAGAGAGAGAGAGAGATAACGAACAGATCTGAGTACAGATCTAACAGATCTGATCGATGCCGACGGTGGCTGTGGCGAGATCGAGAGAGAGAGAAGAACGAGAAGAACGAGAGGCGACTGTGAGAGTGAGAGTGAGATCGACGGTGTCTGTGGCGAGATCAACGGTGGCTGTGAGAGAGAGAGAAGAACGAGAGGCGATGTCTTCTCTCTCGTTCGTTGAGAGAGAGAGAAGAACGAGAGTTGAAAGAGTGGAAGTCGAACGAACGAGAGAGTGATAGTGAGAGAGTGAGAGACAGTGTACGGGTTATATATATATATAAGGGGTATAAAATTACAGTGCACGGGTTATTATATATATATATATATATAAGAGGTATAAAAGTAATTTTATTTCCGAAAAATTCGGGGATGAGACTGGGGCTGGGCCGGGGCTTGAACACTGATCATCGTCCCCGGCCCCCGAACAAATCGGGGATTGATTTTCAAATACCGTTTTCTCCCCGTCGGGGGTATTTTTCGGGAAAAAACTGCTAAAATTAGGGTCGGGTCGGGGATCCCTATCGGGTCGATTTCAAATTGCCATCCCTAACGGTGGTGGAAAATGATGGCGGGTGGTGGTGGCGGAAGACGGTGGTGAAAAATGGTGGCAGGTGGTAGGTGATGGTGGCATAAGACGGTGGTGGAAAGTGGTGGTAAGTGGCAGGGGGGGGGGGGGGTGGTGGTGACGGAAGATGGCGGTGGAATGGCGTGGGTGGGTGTGGTGACGGAAGACGGTGGTGGAAAGTGGTGGCAAGTGGCGGGTGGTGGCGGCGGAAGACGGTGGTGGAAAGCGGTGACCGGGTGATGGGATAGTGGTGGCAGGTGGGTAGCGGATGGCGGGTGGTCGCGAGTGTGGTGGTGGCGGGTGACGGTGACAGTGGCGGTAGTGGCGAGTAGGTGGTGGTGGTGGTGGTGACGGGTAGTGGCGAGTAGGTGGTGGTGGTGGTGGTGGTGGCGGGTGGTGGGTGGTGATGCGGGTAGGTGGTGAGTGATGGTGGTAGTGGTGGTGGTAGATGGTGGGTGGTGGTGGCGGGCGGGTAGAAGGTGGGTAGTGGTGGTGGAGCGCGCGGGTGATGGTGGTAGGTGGGTAGTGGTGGGCGGATGGATGGTAGTGGTGGGAGTGGTGGCAGCGGGTGGGTTGTAGGTGGGTGGTAGGTGGTGGCGAGTGGATGCAGGTGGCTGGTGAGTGGTGGTGGCGGGTAGGTGGCAGGTGGTGCGCTGTGGTGGTGGTGGTAGATGGTGGGTGGTGGTGGCGGTGGTAGAAGGTGGGTAGTGGTGGTGGCGGCGACGGGTGATGGTGGTAGGTGGGTAGTGGTGGGCGGATGGATGGTAGTGGTCGGTAGTGGGTGGCGGCGGGTGGGTGGTAGGTGGCTGGTGGGTGGTAGGTGGTGGCGAGTGGATGGCAGGTGACTGGTGAGTGGTGTAGCGGGTAGGTGGCAGGTGGGGTGCGGCGGGGGCGGATGGATGGTAGTGGCAGGTGTGGTAGTGGCGGGTGGATAGCAGGTGGGTGGTGGTGGTGGCGACGGGGAGGTGGTGGTAGTGGCGAGTGGTGGCAGGTGGAGTGGTGGTGGGCAGGATGATAGCAAGTGGTGGTAGGGGGTGGGTGGTGGTGGCGGAAGACGGTGATAGAAAATGGTGGCGGGTGGTGGCTAGCATTGGGTGGTAAAAAAAAAAAAATTGAAAACTTAAAACGGAAACACATTTTTTGAGTTTACATTTTTTGGCCAAATTCATAAACTGAGATCACTGATTTATAAATAAAAAATTTACCAAACAAGTTTTTATTTGAGTTTTTAAAATTTTTGTAAATATAAACTGAAAACAAAAATCGTAAGTGTTACCAAACGGCACCTAAAGTGTTGTGTTTGTTTATAAAGTTGGGGAGAAGATTAGGATGGAGGAGGTGATATAGATGGAGGTTGGAAGGAGGATTGAGATGGAGGAGGTGGAGATAGTATTAAAAAAATAGTGAGGGGATTAAATTTTTTTTTATTTTTTATATATTGGGATTTTATTAAAAAAATATTAATGTTTAATTTTTTATTTTTTTTATTAGTTTATATAAAAATAATTTAACAATTCCTACACTAATAACTATCATCAAAACAAATATAATTTTACTTAATTCCCTCACTATGAATCCCTTCAATTTTATCTCTGAAAACAAATGGGGCCTAGAGGAGCTCTAATAGGTGTGGCCTATCTTGTGAGGTGATGTTTTGTGCTAATTTTTTTTTTTTTGGGGGTTTATCACATTATTAGAGTTAAAATTAGAATCCGAAATTTAGAAATCTGTATCATTTTCCAATTATAAAATCCAAACAGGGTCAGCAGTCCTAGCCTTGTTGAGTTTTCAAGTCTTCACAAGCGTTCAAACTTGAGAGTAAAACCATACATTACCCACTCTCAAAATTTTAAAACCTCCCTCCTTAACAAAATTCACTGCCCAAAAAGAGCGCGCTCTCTCTTTTTTTTTTTCCCATTCGAAGCTGTGTCTGACATTTCAGAATTCAAAACCCAAAAGCACAAACAAAAAACAAATTGGGAATTCTCCGCCTCTCTCCCTGGAAATGAAAATTGAAAACATCCTCCAAAACGAACAAAACAAAAACAACTTCAAATTCAACTCTCGCAAATCCCAAATCTCCCCTCCAAAACAACCCTACAAAATACCTCTTCTTTTCCCCCCACCATTGCACCTCTCTCTCTCTCTCTCTCTCTCTCTCTCTCTCTCTCAACAAACAATGGCAATGCTGTGTGTTTGTGAAAACGACAAAGAGAACATCCCACCTACCATGTCAAAGCAACCCAATACCAATACAATTGGAGCAGTTTCCACAATTCCAACCAAGAAAAAAAGAGCAACAACCAGAACCAGAATTCCTCTACAAGACATCACCAACCTCTTTTATTCAGTCTCTCTCTCTCTCTCTCTCTCTCTCTCTCAACAAACAATGGCAATGCTGTGTGTTTGTGAAAACAACAAAGAGAACATCCCACCTACCATGTCAAAGTCAAAGCAACCCAATACAATTGGAGCAGTTTCCACAATTCCAACCAAGAAAAAAAGAGCAACAACCAGAACCAGAATTCCTCTACAAGACATCACCAACCTCTTTTATTCAGTTCCAATTCCAAACAGCACTGCTCTTTCTCTTTCTTCCCACATTTTGGTCTCCAATGCGAAGCACCGGAAGAGGAGAGCTCAGATTGACTCTGACTTCTTCTCAATGCAGAACAGCACAGCTCTAAGGAAATGTTTTAGATAGTCCACAAATTAGTTTTCATTTATCATTCAAATCAAAAGTTTATTGTATCCTTTTTTCCCTTTTCTTCGTTTCATTTCATTTCTTTCTGGGTTTTTGATTGAGTAAACATTGATTGGGTGTTTTCCCTTCAAATCAATATCTATATATATATGTACACAGACCATTCAGAGGGTAGTTAGGTAATTTTTATCGGCTCTTTGTAACTATGGTTCAGTGGGATTGGGGTAAAAATTTATGGCTAAAATTTGTTTAATTGGTTTGGGAGTGTTTAAAAATAAGATTTAAAATTTTAAGTTCGAATCATTTTATAGGTTGATTTTTAGTTTGAGTCACTCTAAGAATAAATTGGTCCAGATATTTAATCATAAAAAAAAAAAAGAATCTCTTATGTGACATGAAAGAGCAATTATTCATTGCTCCATAGGCATTGATGTGGTAATGCCACAAATCAATCCAAGCCAATGTCACATGGGATATGAAATAATTTTTTCATATGAAGATGTGGGGCTTAATGTGGACTTAATGATATTATTAATTTTATTATTAAAATGTGTTTCACGAGCTACACAACAGTCATTGTTGGTTAGAATATATCTTGAGCTTGGTGTGATTGACGGGCTAATATGAGCACTAAAAACCCCAATTCCAATTTGAGAATTTTTTATATATTTAAGTTTATAGATAAAGAGATACATAGATAATGTGCGACAAAAATAAAGACTATTATATAATCAAGCAAACAAATTTATCTCAACAAGATTCCAACATTTCAAACCCAACCCAAATCCAACCCATATTTCATAAAAAGTCAAAAAGTGCACTTATTTAGTCTTCCCAAACTTGGCCTTATTGTTGGCTAGAATATATCTTGAGCTTGGTGTGATTGATGGGCTAATATGAGCACTAAAAAACCCAATTCCAATTTGAGAATTTTTTATATATTTAAGTTTATAGACAAAGAGATACATAGATAATGTGCGACAAAAATAAAGACTATTATATAATCAAGCAAACAAATTTATCTCAACAAGATTCTAACATAATTTGAAGCTAGTCAAAATGTGGGTGCTTATGTGAGCCTCCTCAGGCCAAGCTTGTTTATTGATATGAGATAATCATGCTAGCGTATTAAGGGTTTTTTTGGAAAGCAGATAAATAAGCTGGTTATTGGTTTATTTTAGTTATATTATCTTTTTACTTTTTTGTACTTTTTTTTTTTTTTTGTAATAAACAAAAAAAGTCAAACTTATAAAGTAGCTTATGGGTGAGTATTTTAAAATTATTAAATAATTAATAGAAAGTAGTATTTTTGCTATGGATATGAAAACTTTAAGTTGTGTTGTAATGGTTTGATCAATCAAGAGAAAATCCAAAGCTAGATTTAAATTTCACATTTGATGAGAAGTATGCACTAAAATTCATATGTCAAGGAAGTTAAACTAATTACAATTAGTAGAAACTAAAAGAATCAAAGAAATTAACAAAAATGCAACAATCAAAAAGGAGAAAACAATAAAATCATAGATTCATAAAATGTTAAAAAGATACATATAAAATATGATAGACTGAGAGATGTGTTTAACTGTTTTAAAGTTAAATTTTCTCCTATCGTGAAGGTGTTGGTGATGATGATAATAGTTTAAAGATTAAATACAATTTATTTATAATTCTCTCTCTTCTAATATTAAAGTCTATTCAATAGATAAGAACCAAATCACGAACCGATCAAAGTTATGCAAAGGTGTTGCTAATAGGACAATGTAAACCAAGAAAATGTCTGTATCTCAACCTGCCACAGCGTCACTCATCATGGCACTCACTGGCTAGCTAGGTAGGTCAACCCTTGAGTCCAATTTGACAAATCCTATAAAGGATGGCATTGCCCTTCCCTTAAACTTTAGTTTTTTTCTATGAACTAAGTTAATATTTGGTGCTAATTAACTCAGTTGTCTCTTTAATCAAGCTCATATAAAGAATCAAAATTATTTGTTACATGAAGTCCCTTGCTTGTCCTAGACTGGATTAGACCTCATGCTATGTTTGGATATTGGATTTTGGTACAAATTTGTGGAAGGAAAAAAAAAAAAAAAAAAGAGAAATGTAAATGACAAATAAGTGATTTTTCTCTCCACATTTTTTTTTACAAAGCTCTATTAAAATTCAAAATTCAAATACAACAACTCCATTCAAGATTTAAAATAGGTGCAAAGCATGCTAGTCCCACTCAATCCCTCTCAGTTAATTAAAAAAGTATTTTTCCTTTGTGTTGTACTAAATAATGTAGCACAATTATATACAAACTAAGGTAGTTTTGGAAGCGTTTACTCTGGGGAAGCCAACCGAGAAAAACAAAATTTAATAAAGACAAATTTTCCTTTTGCACTTTTTTATATTACTGGGATGAACTAACACACTGCCACATTTTATCCCAAGTAGAATGCTGTGGATCCACTACAAGGAATCTTGTTCGGCCAAAGGACAATTTCTACCTTATCTGTCATAAATAATGTTTTTATTATTTTATTTTATTTTATTTGTTAAGCTATTGTACGTATGATCCCTGTATAGTTCTTGTAGTTTGTATCATTTTAACTTTTTAATTTTTTATAACATGTAAATTTAGTTTAATTGATAAATTCGTCAAGAAATTAGATAGAAATCAGGGATAAAATAGTGAATTTAAATTTATATTTCTCACATTGAAATTCTTATCTTTTCTCTCATTTTTTTTTTCCCTATCATATCCACAGTTTTGTAGAAGTGATGCTTTGGATTTGTTGCATGCAATTTTGCAATAACTTTGTTGTATATTGAAGATGAATTGCTTTGAGCCCGATAGCAAAGTCTTTTGAGTTGGAAAAATTAAAGATAGTGACCTTAATGTGCCCCAAAGTTACACCTGTTTTCCTAATTCGAATAATTTTATGTACTTTCGTAACATGTTGCACACACATTTTCTTTCCACTTTTTTCATGGCATTTGATGTGGCACATTTACAACTATTAAATATCAATAAGCCTTATGTAGAACGCATTGCACCATTGCTATGGCAATGCATGATAAAGGTTATTAAGTGAATTTTCATTTTTGTAAGTACATTAGAGTGGGAGGGGGAGTTAAACCTATAACTTCTTAGTGAGGTACATAAATTCTTGCCACTAGCCTAGACTTGGGAATTGATCTCTAGTAATGATACATTTTTTTTCTCACTTTTGCCTCTTATTGATTTATTCTTCTGTACTGCGTACATTCTTGTTTACATCAATATCAGAAAAAAAGAAGTGAATTTTCATTGCTAATTCAAGGAGATATGGGAGGTTACCCTATTTGATTATGTATATGAAATAATGCTATGGATTCTATTGTTGCACAGCTGCATTGGCTATATTACGAAGCAACTAAACAATGGTTATTCTTGTTTTACATCATAAGCTTTTCTTGAAGAGCCAAAAGAGACGCACTCTTTCATACCCTACATTGCAAAGTGGAATATAGCTTAGGAGGCAAGCTAGGTTCCGAAGCTACCCTCAACTTTGTGACTTCAATAATATGATACTTAAGTTTCGTTTGACATTGGCTACGGTAGTCAATTTTTTTGTGTTGGAATTTTTTTAGCTTGACTTTTTTAGTTTTATTTGGTTTTTGTTTTTGGATTTTTTTGACTTTGGTGAGAGAATAAATATAATGATTATGATTTGGATGTAATATTTTGTTTTATTGACTTATATAGTCTATTTTGTCTTTTTTTACTTTTTTAATCCCAAAATATTTACCAATCAAAAACTTAGTTTATATTTATTTTTATAGAAAAATGAATATAATCCTATTAAGAGTGTAGGTACTATTTAGGATAAACGTACATTCGGTATACTTTTTTAAAAAAAAATTGTCACTATATTTATAGTCACGAGTCTCGTGACTTGACAAAAATGACAAATATGGCCGAATTAGCTAAAAGGCATACACAAAGGGAATGGAGAACCAAGAGAAAAAAAATGAGGTCTTCGGTCTTCGATTCCATGGATTGGACACCCCATTATGAAATATTAATTGTTAGGTACAGTGTTTTACTTGTGGTTCATAATTCATTTAAATTAAGCTATGTACTTGACCAAAATAATAATAATAATAATAACGTAACCTAAATTCAACACCAAGATGCTATATGTATATATATGCAACCATCATTGCTCATAACATATAGAGTAAAATGGCCAACTGGAACTTCTGGTTGTGCTTTGCATTGATCCTGTACTCGGTGACGAGGTCTGATGCTCGGACTCTGAATCCATTAGTGAAGAAGAGAAGGGAGCTAAGTGTACGGTACCAGGCAGTGCTTGAAAAAGCTCAAGAAATGTACCATTTCAGGTTGAGAAATGACGGATTGAGCAAAATCTGGTACGAGTCCAAGCGAGTTAGTCCCGGGGGACCGGATCCAATGCATCACTGAAAAAGACCGAGAAGTGATCATCCTATATCAATTTATGTATCATCACTGTTTTAAATAACGATATTGGGACACCTATTAGTGCTAATATTATCCCATATTAACTAATAATATATTGTAGAATGTCAGTATTAAAATTGACATGTATTATTCGATATTTAAAACTATGATTGGTATGAATCAGAGTAATGTTAGAAATCTACACATTTGACTCACAAATTTGCTCACAATAATGTGGTAAGGAAATGGGCCCTGAATGATGAGATATAAAACAAATCAAAAATTAATACCTATCCCGACATATCTTTGTGGGTAGAATTGTGAAATTTTTTTGAGATGTTAAACATTTTCAGCATAAGTCACATCTTAAAATGATTCTAATAATGCTGCTGCTGTTGCTGCTGCTGGTTTTCATGTTTGATGATGGATATGACATTGGCTTTTTTGAGTTGAGATTTTTTTAGCTTGGAACTAAAAAATTCATTTGGTTTGACTCTTTTGAGAAAAAAATAAAATAATTATGGTTTGAATGTGATATTTTTATTGATTTATTTAATCTGTTTTATCTTTTGTACTTTTTTAGCCCAACTAAGTTAGCCAAACGAAAGTTGTGGTTTAAGTGCAAGCACAAGTAACATGTTTTCTTATGATAATAATGGAAATCTCCACGGTGACTTGGACCGTATACATTTTGCTTTGTGAGGTCACTATAGGTCCTATATCGATAATTTAAATTATCCATGTTAGAGAACTCTCTAAATAGATCATGTATATAAAAAATTAAGTTGATTGGATATCAGTAATCACTTAATTATATCACATTTGTTTAAAAAATAAAAATAAATGTGATTCGATTGAGTGGTTTTCGATATCCGATCAACTTGATTTTATGTATGAATAACCTATTTAATTAGCTTTACAAAATAAAAAACTTGAATTGTTTGAGATACATGAAGTCCTTGTAAGCTTGACCATGAACAACTGACTACATATTCTCTGATGAATGAATCTCTCAAGTTTGTTATGACAACTTAAACTTGACTGAGATTTTCTAGCTGGCAAAACATAGCCAAGCCTACGACTGTGCAAAATATTGTGCAAAATAATGTGGGTTTAACAATATTATTAATTTTATTATTGAAATGTGTCCTACGAGTTACACAATAATCATTGCTGGTTAGAACAATAGTCATTGCTGGTTAGAACATACCTTGAGCTTGGTGCAATTGACGGGCCAATATGAGCACTAAAGAATCCAATTCCAATTTGAGAATTTTTTTTTATATATAAGTTTATAGATAAAAAGATACATAGATAATGATACATAGACAATGCGCAACAAAAATAAAGGCTATTATACAAATCAAGCAAACAAACTGTTGGCTTTTTGGCTTTTCGAAGGGTAGTTTTGTAAATGTGAGCGTGCCAGCAAGGATCAATCAGTCCTTAATGTAATATTTTGTTTTATTGACTTATATAGTCTATTTGTCTTTTTTTTACTTTTTTAATCCCAAAATATTTACCAATCAAAAACTTAGTTTATATTTATTTTTATAGAAAAATGAATATAATCCTATTAAGAGTGTAGGTACTATTTAGGATAAACGTACATTCGGTATACTTTTTTAAAAAAAAATTGTCACTATATTTATAGTCACGAGTCTCGTGACTTGACAAAAATGACAAATATGGCCGAATTAGCTAAAAGGCATACACAAAGGGAATGGAGAACCAAGAGAAAAAAAATGAGGTCTTCGGTCTTCGATTCCATGGATTGGACACCCCATTATGAAATATTAATTGTTAGGTACAGTGTTTTACTTGTGGTTCATAATTCATTTAAATTAAGCTATGTACTTGACCAAAATAATAATAATAATAATAACGTAACCTAAATTCAACACCAAGATGCTATATGTATATATATGCAACCATCATTGCTCATAACATATAGAGTAAAATGGCCAACTGGAACTTCTGGTTGTGCTTTGCATTGATCCTGTACTCGGTGACGAGGTCTGATGCTCGGACTCTGAATCCATTAGTGAAGAAGAGAAGGGAGCTAAGTGTACGGTACCAGGCAGTGCTTGAAAAAGCTCAAGAAATGTACCATTTTAGGTTGAGAAATGATGGATTGAGCAAAATCTGGTACGAGTCCAAGCGAGTTAGTCCCGGGGGACCGGATCCAATGCATCACTGAAAAAGACCGAGAAGTGATCATCCTATATCAATTTATGTATCATCACTGTTTTAAATAACGATATTGGGACACCTATTAGTGCTAATATTATCCCATATTAACTAATAATATATTGTAGAATGTCAGTATTAAAATTGACATGTATTATTCGATATTTAAAACTATGATTGGTATGAATCAGAGTAATGTTAGAAATCTACACATTTGACTCACAAATTTGCTCACAATAATGTGGTAAGGAAATGGGCCCTGAATGATGAGATATAAAACAAATCAAAAATTAATACCTATCCCGACATATCTTTGTGGGTAGAATTGTGAAATTTTTTTGAGATGTTAAACATTTTCCGCATAAGTCACATCTCCGGCACCGGGTCAGGGTTTCCTGAGGGACACCCCTCTCCCTTTGTGTCTCATTTGTGCATGTTTTGGGCTCATAAGGGTAGCATATTTGCTTGGTTGTTTTTGGCTCCATATCAAATGTTTTTGGTGCTATTTGGGTCACATGTTATCTCTGTTTTTGGTCGGATTGGTGGCCCTTTGCATGCTTAACATACTTGCTTTGTATTCCCTTGTTTGTGCCTAGAAATGCATCGTGACTTTTGACTACCATGCTCTCATATTTTGGCTTCACTTTGTGAAGTTCTTGACCATATTTTGTCATGCATGAGGTCTGTTGGCCACTGATTTGGTCTTGTTTAGCATGCTTGATATAGTTGCTTTGCATTTTGGATCATGAGCCTTGAGTGTATGGATCATTAACATGCCTAGCTTGGCCTATTATCATCATTTGGCATTAGTTGAGATCATATTCCAGTCCATATAATGTGGTCTTACATTGTCCTTTGTGTCTCTGTCAATGCCTTGACATGTGCATTGTGTATGCCTATGTGTTTGGGTCATTTTAGGGCTTCCATACCAGCAGGTTTTGGAGCTATTTTGCATGCTAAAATTCTGTTTTTGGGTTGTATAGTTCATGCCATGCTTGTTTGGGTTAGTGGTAGTGGAGTGCCTTGTTGTTATGCCTTAGCCTTGGGCCCCTTTTGACTTGCATGCTTGTAGTGCATTTTGTCCATCACTTGAGACACTTTTGGCCACTATTTTGGGGAGTGTTTGAGGCCTCCCATTTCAGTCTAAGTCCCTTCTCGGACATGGTTGTATGCGTGACTTGTTGCCTCTAATCTCATGCTTGCATTGTACCATATTAGCATTGCATGATGAGTTGCATTGTAGCATTGCATGTTAGGAACATTCCATGCTTGCCATGATATGTTGCATTACATTTGGCATGCTTTGCATTTTAGTGATATGTTGCATTTTCGAGCCATGTTTGCATAACATGCATTGCATTGCTTGGTTTGGGGTGTCAAACCAAGTGCGAGGGGGGAGAAGTGTTCATACTACAAGTGATGTAACGCGTCTCAACTCTCGGTCACCGAGGCCCTTGACTTTGGCATGATAGGGTTTTGGTATTCATTTATATGTTGCATGCATTTTCATTGAATTGAAACCTTGGCTCCTTAGGCTATCACGCATCAAAATGCATGATTGATGGCCCGAGGGTCGAGGGTCATGCTCCCTTGAGTCCCTTGCATGATAGAGAGTGTGCCCGCACATACATTTGCTTGAAATTCCATGCCATACACTGTCTGTCCTTGTTGCTGTCAAAAACCAGTTTTTGCAGGGAGTTTTTGCCGATC